GTGGCTGCTGTCCCTGGGCTGCATGCCTGTCCCCTCTCCTGTGTGCTTGCTAGTGGGGAGAGAAGCTCTGGGGTGAAACCCTCAGACCTAGAGGGTGTGAGGTCTCTGGCACAGTCTGAAAATCGCCTGTGGCCTTCTCCAGTGGCCTCTAGTGAGATAACAGTGCCAACAGCAAAGGGAGCGTTTAGCTTATTGCCCACAAGTCTTACATGTGGGGAATGAAACCCGTGCTCCTATAACTCTTGAATGCGAGGTGGGCGGCCTGGGGGCGGAGCTGGGGGACTCCTTTGCAGAGGAAGGTGTTTAAAATGCTGACGTAACACGTCCCTTGCCAAACGCTTGCTTCTCTTCCAGCGGCAACACTCGACAGCCCCGTGGAACTGGGGCACGAAGGCTACTGAGCAACCTGAACAGGGACGAAGAGTGGATGTTGTGATCTGCAGATGTTAATGCATCAAGGAGAAACTTGGGAGAGGTTGTTTTGTGTCAAGGCATTCTGCATTAAATACTTCTTTTGGGAGAAGGAACCTTTCTTCAGCTGTTAACCAGTCCGGTCTCCTCACATACAGCTACTTCCATGAGTGAGGGCTGTAGGGGCAGACTCGGGTTACATTGACATGTATGCAGGTCCCTGATGGATGGGCTTTCTTGGGTCTTTAAACTAATAAACCCTGCTCTACAGTAGGTGAAATGCTGAAGTGAAGTGACTTGCCCCAAGGTCACAGCAGAGTAACGGGAGGGCCAGAAAGCATCCAGGTCCCCTCTTCATTGCTTCTTGGCTCCTGTTCCTTCCCCCACAGGGAAGATTTAGGGGATGGAAGGGGGAAGGATACCACGGGGAGGTAGCATGAAACTGGGGGGTACATAATGCCAAGAGCATGCCCTTGGCTGAGCTCCGAGTGCTGCTTTTACAGCAGTGATGAGGCCCAAAGGTGCACCCAGCTGGAGTGGGACAGGTAGAGATGGAGGGAAATTCATGTCTTCTGCATCTGACATTCAACTGCTACTTGTAAAAAGAGTGAGGAGAGCTCGCCAGGCAAAGAAATAAGTTACCCTAATATAGGTTAATAGCCATGCTCTAGTCAAGGGTTTTTTTTTCCTTTTAAGAAAAAAAATATAAAAGCCAGAGCAAGTTGATGGGCTTGCCAGCTGATGAATCTTCATAATCATATATAATATATGATTTCTCATGTTCACAAGCATTTCCCATGTAATTTTCTAGGGATGGTAGTTGCAAATAATGCAGTTGTGTTGTTTGGCTGCTTTGTGCAATAAAACATCTGTGTATCGAAAGCTGGCTCTCGTGGCTTTGAGACTTCTCTCCACAGCATCTGCGAGAGCACGGACCTGTCGACCCGAGCTGGCTTCCTCCCCCTTAACGTCTCTCCGAAATGGGTGGCAAACTGCACTGGAATCCTTGTTGGCTCTCTTAGCTCTTTGTTATCTGATTTTAATTTTATAAACTAGAAAACATGATCATTTGCATTTGTAACAGGCGAGACAACTGTAGGTTAGCTTTCTTTTCTTTTTTTTTGTGCTCGTGGATACACGTGCAGGGGAGCAAACGTGAGAACCTGAGCGTTACCCTTGAAGGAGCCAGTGCTTATAGCCAGCTGCATATGCAACCTTTGCTGGTTTTCCCAACAAGGCCTGTTTGCTAAAGCCAATGCCGGGGGCTGGATCTCCTCTTCTCCTGGGTGAAGCTGATCTGGAAGAACTGAGCAGTTAAAAGAAAAGCTACTTATTTTAATTGCTTCCCAGCTCTGCTGCATCCCTCTCTCCACCCTGCTGCAATGGTGCTGACTGTCTGTTTTATTGGGGGGGCCTGAGCCCCTCCCCCCTGTGCCTGCCTGTGCGCCCATCCCGGAACTGGCTGCCCTCCTTCCCCATTGCCCACACTCAAGATGGCGGACTCCGCCGTTCCAGCCCGTCTCCAAGATGACGCCGAACGCAGCTCTTTGAAGGCGCGCGTCATCTGGGAGCGCCGCGAGTGGAGCGCGCCGGAAGTGGTGCGCACGTGGCGCATGGGCAGGCGAGCGGGGCGGCATGGCGGCGGGGAGCGCGCCCGTGCGCTTCAAGACCAAGTGAGGAGCGGGGCCGGGGGGAAGCCTAGCTCAGCCCAGCCCGCGGCACTCCCTGTGGAAGGGAGCAGCGGCAGCGATTCAATTCCCCCACTGCCACCCAGCCCCAAGCTGTGCGAGTGGATAGGGGCCAGGCCACGTCCCTGGGATGGGGGAAAGCTGCCCCCCCCCCACCACAACTGCCTCGTGTGCCAGACCGGCACCAGTCCCGGGTTTGGGCCAGACACTGCCCGTCCAGCCACCGCCGCTCCACAGCATCCCCCTGGCTTTCCCGGTGGGAAAGCCGCAGCAATTTAATACTGAACGAGCTCCTCGCTGCGGAGCTTGGCCAGGTTTCTCCAAACCCCTTTCGACAGCCGGTCGTCGTCTTTTGCATGTTATACGTTTATGCGGCACCCGCCGCCTCCTGCATGACCAGATTTGTTGTCAGGCTGCTCACGGGTCGCAGGATCCGTGGCCGTGCCGGGAATCGGCGTTTTCCGAGTCGCCCGCGGTTTGCTGAGCCGCTGCTGGCTGTGCCGCTGCCTCCCGAGGGCACGTTTGTCATGCTGGCCGCTGCCATTTGTAGCAAGGGAAAAGAAACGCTCTGGAGGATCTGCCACGCCGAAGTCGGCCCTGTTGAAAGCAATGCCAAGCTGGGAGCAGCTGGAGTCGGGTAGTGTCCGAATCTCCTGGCTTCGCAAGCTGGAAACGGAGATTTATTGAGGAAAAGCGGTCACGGGACCTGACAGTTGCATTGCAGCGTTTTACAAGGATTTCAGCTGCTCGGACGTGTCTCGGGCAATGCGTTATGTTTCCAGAAATACAAAACTCTGAAACTCTTGATTCAGAAGCGATACCTTTTTATTAAACCAGCTAAAAAATAGCAATTACATTTCCAGACAAGGTTCTTTGGGTAAATCTGATATCTGCTGTTAGACCAACTCAAATAGTTGGAAAATTTCTTCTTTGCAAGCTTTCGGGTGCAACCACCCTTCGCCAGGTTGAGGAAGCGGCTGCAGCTGTTGTGTCAGGTGCTTCCTCAGCATGTTTATACCCAACAGCTTGCAAAGAAGAATTTTTCCAGCTTAGTTGTTGGGAAATGGGCTGAGGAAGTATCTGACACACCAACTGCAGCCGCTTCCTCGACCTGACGAAGGGTATTTGTACCCGAAAGCTTGCAAAGAAGAATTTTTTGTGACTATTTGAGTTGGTCTAGTAAAAGATGGGATTTACCCAAAGAACCGTGTCTGTCTGTGTCCTTGGACCAGCTCAGCTACAACCTACACACCTGACAAAGGGTGTTTGTACCCAAAAGCTCGCGAAGAATTTTTCCAGCTGAGCTGGTCTAATGAAAGAGATCGGATTTACCCAAAGAACCTGGTCTGCCTGTGTCCTCAGACCAACACGGCTACAACCTGCACTCCTGTAATCAAATTTCCACACACTTTTGTTTGGCCCTTTTCTTTCACTCCCCGACTTTTACCTCCACACAGTCATTACATCAAGTTCAGTCTAGCAAGACGCACGGATGTAGTGTTTGTGCACTTAAAGAATTACCCTGTTGTGTTGGTTTGCAAATGAGGTAAACAAAATGTTTTAACTGCTACTTTACTTGTATTTCTGTTTCTCCTTTCAGCTATGCTGTGTCGAGGAAAATTGAGCCTTTCTACAAAGGAGGGAAAATTCAGGTACTGCCAAACCCCACCTTCCTTTGTTGAAATGCTGGAGGCAGAGAGTAAAGACAAGGTGTCACTGCTAATGTTTGCTAAAAACAAAGTCAGGTTTTTTTTCTGGTTCCATAGACATTTGTGCCTTTTTCCCCCCAGATAAGCAGAGATGGAAACTATATGTTTTGCCCTTGCGGAACCAAGCTGAATGTAATGGATATAGCAACAGGAGCCGTGGTTCACAGCATCGAGCAGGTGAGAGATGCAAATTAAACTAAAGTTTACTCAATCAACAGGTTTTTTTCAAATGATTTTTGAGGGATGTCTTTATTTCTGTGCTGTTTTCTAAAACTGTGGGGGCTAGCCTTTTCAGCAGGCATGCCACAAATTAGCCCCACACTCTCACCGAGTGCCACTCTCATCCCCTTCCCCGGCCTGGTCTGCCGCTCCACTTTCCACTTCCTGCCATATCTGCTGCTGTGCTGCTTGTCTTTTCCCCAGTCTGCCATGTGCCTCACACCCCAGCTGCCAGTGCCACAGGTTGGCCACCGCCGTTCCAAAGACACTGGCAGTGAAAACTTGGGAGAATAAAGAACAAGAAATCTGCAACCAGAAAAATATATTATTTGCTCACCATGTCCCTAGCTATGGTATGATTTGAAAACTTTGCCATAGTATAAATCTTGCTAGAAGATTGCTAATTCAATTTTATATCACAGCACAGAGAGGATCTTTTTCATCAGTGGAAAAAAGCAGCTTCTGAGTTTCCCTGGATAAGCAGCCTTTGCATATGGCATGCAAGGAAATAGATTTTTTCCTGGACTTTTGTGCTTCGTTCAAGTTTCTCTTGAACGACTCACTCTCCCACCTGTCCAAGTGGGATCCCTGTAGTCTTGATCTGTTCAGTATTTCTCAGCATCAAGAACTGGATTTAGTCCCAGATTCCAGATGGCTCTATAATGATGCTGCTGAGAGTTGCTTGAGAATATATAGTTGGTATCAGATCCCCCTGGTCAGAGCAGGCAACATATCTGCACGTGCTCTCTCTGGAAATGTGGGGCTTTTGGGGGCCAACTAGAACAAAAAGTTTGCGCTTGTCAATGATGTAAGTTAAATGGAAGCTATGAATAGCTTCCCAGAAACACGATGGGTTTACATCCCCCAGCCAGGCAAATGCGTCCACAGCTGGGAGTTGCTCCTTCAGCAGGTTTATATATTGACTTCCTTGTGACCCTCCTGGAGCTTCTGCCACTGGAAGTTACACAGTGAAATGCACCCTCAGTGAGTACAGGAAGCTGTAGATATAAATTAGTGTTTACACTAATTAGTGTAAGAAAAGTAGGACCGTGGCATTTACAAATATTCTGCAGATGATGCAAGTGTCTTTCCTTGTTTATAGGAAGATCAAGAGGACATTACATCATTCGTTCTTAGTCCCGATGACGAGGTATGTGACAAGTTACACTTCCTCCTAATTTCTCTTTCCAACTTACAAAGCATAAATGCACTGCAGGCGTGCTTAGGTGTTCACTGTTGCCTCTGATAGGTGGTTCTGACAGCATGCCGGTTGCTTCTGAACACACTTGTAACACACTCTGTCAGTGGCATTACACAATTGCATTTCTGTCCATCACATTACAACGTGCTTTTATTTGTGTATGAATCTGGACGTTATTACAACAAAAGCAAAACGTGTAGCACAGAGAAATAAATTGGCTTCAGAATTGGATTCTTTTGGTAATTGAAAATTCTAGGGTTTGGCCTGATTCCAGGTCTTCTAAAACTTGGTGTGAGCCTAAAAATACAGTCCTATTCTGCACTAGCTAATTGAGTTTCTATTTCTTGCTGCCTGGTTTTGTTGTCACCAGATCCTCGTGACAGGAAGCCGAGCATTGCTGTTAAAACAGTGGGACTGGCGAGAGAACAAGTGTACGCGCACGTGGAAAGCAGTGCATATGGCACCAGTAGCCAGCATGACCTTCGATTCCACTTCAACGTTGTTAGCCACAGGTACAACCTTATTTAATGCTGCATGGTGAAGAAGTCTGTGTATTTGGCTATATTAGGCTTATTCAGGACAATATAAGATAGAGATGCCTTGATATTTGTAAGAAATCAGAAGAGAAACAGGTAGTTTCTCAAGACTTTCCTTTCATCAAGAATCATGTAATGAGCTCCACAGAGAGAACGTATTAAATAAATGTTCTATATTTGTAATACGTACTTAAAGCAGCAGCTTGGTCTGAGGGTCTGTGCACAGAACTGGGGGTCAGGAATTCCTGAGCTGAGACGCAAGCCCTGAAGCTGACTCCCTGCAGGGCTATTGCCAAGTCATTTCACTTCTGTCTCTCTCACTCCTCAGCTGCGAGTACTGATTAAATTACCCGCCTGTTGCAAGTTTAATGAGTTACTTTTGCAAAACCTTCAGGTTTAGGAAGTACTCCATGGTTATTGCTATGATTAGTCATTCTCTCGTGCTTTTGTAACCTGTGAAACTCGGATACAGATTCTGATGTGCTGACCCCACTTCCTTTCTCCTGTCTTGTCTTCTCCCAGGCGGCTGTGACAGCACCATCAAGATCTGGGATGTGATCAAACAGTACTGCACACACAACCTGAAAGGATCAGCGGGGGTTGTACAGTAAGGAGAAATTCCTCTTATTCTCACCTTTCGGTTAAGGAAACGAGCGGAGACCATGTCACCAGAGCATGACATTTCACCCAGGAGGCCTGTTTAAAATAAGGAATTGTAGCTTGCAGATAGGAGTTTGTGAGTGAGATTCCTGAAACTCCAGTTAATAAAGGATAACCCGATTTAGAGAACTTCTGAGTTAGGGCTGATGATAGGGAGCACCATGGTTTCTTCTAGAGATAACACGTGAAAACATCCCACAGAGCATTTCTTAATAGCAAGGATGTCAGCCGTGACATCCTTGCTGAATTACACCGCTTAACACTTCTTCCCAGAGTCCTGTGGTTGTTGCGTTGGGCAGACGAGATAGGGAAGTGTATGATGTCATTAAAAAGCTTTGTAGACTTAAACTGAGATGCTGGCAATTGAGAGGCATAAGGCAAGCAAAGACCCTAGGTATCTTTCTCTGATAAACCAGGTGTGTACGGTGGATATCCTGCAGAGGAAATAGGATCTTAGATTCAGTGCAGCTAACATACGTGAACTTTCTGGGCAGGCTGCACACTAACTACTGCTGCTGGATGGTCCGTGCCTGCTCTGTGTGAGTGTGTCTGTCTCTCTCCTCTCTGCTCAGTGTTGTTGAGTTCCACCCCGACATCTCCCGGTTGCAGCTGTTCTCCTCTTCAATGGACTATAAGATCCGGATCTGGAACCTGACTTCCAGCAAGTGCATTGCCGTGCTTGACGGCCATTACAGCGCTATCACTTCTCTTACTTTTGCTGCAGATGGGAATACGCTCATCAGGTAACATGGTTAAGGGCGCAGCCTGCCTCTTCCACTTACCTCCCTGTTGCCAAGAAACACACAGCATACGTGTACTGTGCATGGGAGCAGAGGACTGACAATGCTGCCCGTTTGGTCTCAGGTGGGGACATTAGAGGAGAGACCTGGGGTCTGGGTTTCGCTTTACCATTCTTTGTGACTCGCTTTCTGTGTCTGTAAAACAGACAACACTGAACCGGCTCACAGACCTCATCTTTTATGGGTCTGACCTAGAGAAGTGCTGAGTCCTCACAACTCCAGCTCTGGAATTGCACATTGGTCAGATGGGGCTGCTAGTGAAAATGCTTTTATCAACTCTGTTGCAGTTCAGGCCGTGATAAAATCTGCATGGTATGGGACCTGAAGACAAGAGCAGCCAAGAGGACTATCCCTGTGTATGAGGTGAGATTACTCTGAAAGACTTTTTCTACCTCAGTGGAGCACCACCTCCAAGCAGGAGAGAAGGGGGCCTGCCTCAAGACTGAGTAGTTAGACAGGCTCTCACATTTAACTTTCCCGTTGCTGCATATATATGCTTTCTAGCTGGGGGGCTCAGGATTTGGGAAGGGGATAGCAAGCAGATACATATTTATACAGCTACTGGGACTTCTAGGAAACTGGTCCAAATACAGCCCAAGTTGCAATCCAAGCCTGGACGCTGCTACGTAAGAGGGTTGCTCCTGTTCTGGATCCTGGAGGTTCTGACATTGCACATCACGTGTCTTCTGGTTGGGTGTGAAGCCACCTTTCCAGCATCCCTCCTGTGTCATTCATTCTCCCCTCGTTGTTTGGTGTCGTGGAGCACTTAGCACTCACCTGTGCCATCTGCTGTTCAAGTCCTGAGGGTGAAAAGGGACGTCACCCTTTATGGAGCCAAGGGTGGCTTTTTGTGCCTGCATTACTGTTTCCCATGCTCCTGTACAGTCCAGCGTGGGTGCAGTTAGAAGGGAAAGCTCAGCCAGCTAACAAAAATAGCTTTCCATAAAATTCTCACATTTGCTGAGAAGGAATTGGATCCACGGCTCCCAGCCAATGTGTCATGGCCTGTTGAATCACCCCTAGAGCGTGGAAGCTGCAGTCCTGTTACCTGAGGATGGAGATTTCTCACAGCTCGGCATGCAGAAGCAAGGGCTTCACTTTGTCACAGCTGGCAGCAAAGGTGAGTGCGAACCCCTTGGCATTTCCTGCCTTGTCCCTGCCTGGCTGCGGAAGGGAAGGGAACTCCACTCTCTTCCACTGCCAGGGCTCACGGTCCTACCGTTACCTTGTGTCTGACAAAAGCCCTTGCCCAAGTCAGCGAGCCTTTTCCAGCATGCCTGCGGGAGGTGAAGCAGCACTTTCTCCCTCGGCCCAGTTCTGCCTCATTCTTCCCCTAGGGAAGAGTGCACTGAATGCCTGGACAGATCCTGTAGTTACAGTGAGCTCAGACAACACCTCCTTTCTTAGAAGCCTTGTCCAATATAGAAAATTGCACTGGTTTAAATTAAGTTGGGTTTTAAAGCAGTGTAACCCCCTGTGTAGACGCTCTTAACCCAGTTGCAGTGGCTTCCACTGGTTTAGCTCAGTGGTTTCAACATTTTTATTCATTTGCAGACCCCTTAAAATTTTGAATGGCGGGGGGGAGGGGCTTTGAATTGTAAGTGTGGGTATTCACATACTTTTCATTGATCATAGTCATCTTTCACAGACCCCTTAGACATAGTCTGCAGACACCAGGGGTCCATGGACTGGAGGTTGTAAACCACTGGTTTAGTTTAAGCCTGTTTGCAGCTGACTTGGGGGAACCTGAAATAAGGTTTAGACCAAAACAAGTGTCCACATAGCCTCTGTGCGCCGCTAAAACAATATATGGACGGTCACAGCTTTAGTAAACCAGAACAGCACAATCGTGTAAGCAAGGCCAGTGTTTGATCCAGTACTGCTCAGGAGACGGTTTGGGGCATGCCGCCCCGGTAATGCCATGAAACTGCCCCTCAGCGATCCTTCCCTCCATTAGGGGCCCTGCGGATCTGGGACGCGGCCACAGCTGCCTGCGTGAACACCCAGCCTGTGCCCTACCAGCCTGTGGAGTCCGGAGAGGAGGAAGCTAATGAACACAGCCTGACTAACTGCATGCTGGTGCCCGAGAAAAACGAGATTGCGACCGTGACTGCTGAGCATAATATCGTCCTGTACGACATTCAGACTCTTCAGCTGAGGAAGCAGGTATGGATAGTCTCTCTCTCCTTTCTCACTGCCCCCTGGGACAGCTCCCTGTCTGACCAAGTCTTTCCCTCTCTAGTGCGGTACCACATGTCCATCTACTTGTATTGGACTCCAAGGCATAGAGCATGGCTTTGCAGAGGGGGGAGTTATTTGAGAGAGCTTTGCATAAGGTATTGACTTGGTACAAGGAGTTGGGAGCCAGAGACTGGACAACAGAGGGTCCTGAGCTTTGATCATTGGGACTTAGAGGTTGCTCTGTAGAGGAAAGTATTGAAACACATGGTCAGCGAGGCATAGATCAGCTTAGGAGTGCTCCAGGCCCTCTGACGTGTGTGTTCAAGGGAGACTGCTCTTTCAGATTGGCATGTGGCACTGATTGAAAGATTGCCCGGTAAAGCAACAGTAATTCGGTGCTACCGAGTATGTGAGCTGTTGTTTGGTTCTGCTCTAGCCAGCTCATTCCTTGCCTTTTAAACTGCCTGTTGTTCTGTTGCCCTCAGTTTGCAGGTTACAACGATGAGGTCTTGGACGTGAGGTTCCTCGGTCCTGCTGACTCTCACATTGTCGTGGCTACAAACAGCCCTCAGCTGAAATTGTTTGAACTAGCAACGTCACACTGCCAAATCCTCTATGGGCACACAGGTATGAGGGACTGAGACACTTGTGAGTTCTGTGCTGGGAGGGAGGAAGGGGAGCGTGTCTCTCTCTCCTGTAATTTGGCTTCTCTCTTTCTAAGACTTGTCTGTGCAGATCCTGCCGCACTGTTAGTTCTCTAGAGCAGCATAGAGGCCCGTGGTTTGTAGGCAGCACGTGCGGGAAGCTTGCCCTCCTGCTGTTCGTGCTGTGCCCACTTTGCACAAGGGGAAAGCTTCCAGTTTTTGGGGCTGTCTGTCCTGCACCATTCACCAGCACCGACATCTGCTTCCGTTAGAGAGAGAGAGAGTTGGGGGTGATGGTAATCTCTGAACACCAGTCCAGTGTGTTTGGGGTTTCATCTACAGATTCAGCCAGTCACTTAACAGCGCGTGGTGGAGCTCACAGTGCTGATATGTCCTGAGGCTGTCGGAGCCGCCTCATCACGAGGTGGTGGTCTCAGCCATATCTCATGTCTGTCTTTTGGCCAGGCAGAAGGCTACATGGCTGCTCTCTTACTGTCTCCTTTCAGAAACGGTTCTGGCCCTGGATGTCTTCAGAAAGGGCATGATGTTTGCCAGTTCTGCCAAGGTAATGGGGTACTTTGTTCCTTTATAGAAGGCATTTTACTTTAAGTGACTTTTGCTCTCCTGGGCAGTTTTCCTGCTCTTTGCTGGCAGTGTTAGGAAGGACCTTTGCACTGAAGGGAACTCTGCCCTGGCAGTTGAGCTTTACCCCTTTCATGGACATTTTTGAGTGCTTTCTAAACCCCACTTTCTCATTCACCATCGTTTCTTCATACTAGCCCCAGGAAAGTGCGTGTTCCTTTTATTATAGTGATGCCACGTTTTTTCCTGGGTACGTGTTTTGCTCTGCAGCCGGTGAGCTCGCTGCTAGGTACGGCTGTGAAACAGCCTGGGAGCAGAGACAACGTACATCTGGGTTCTTACAGCTTTGTATTCTTCATACCCAGGAGGCAAAGCAAAGGGACAAAGCGCAAGCTCCCCAACCTGGCCAAATCCAATCCATAAGCCCAAGTTTCAGATCTGGCTGGGAATGATGCTGTGAAAAATGCAGACAGATATATTTGAAGGCAGTGCATACCAAGCCTTTCAGCACTTGTTCTAATCCATTTGCAAGGGCGATGACTTTCGGCTTTCCTGTTTCAGGACAAAAGCTTCCGAATCTGGCGGATGAATAAAGCGGGTGAGGTGCTCTGCCTGGCTCAGGGAGTAGGTCACACGTATGGAGTGGGCACAATCTGTTGCTCGAGGTAATGGAGGTATTGTTCTTACATGGGGCCTTCATCTGAATGCAGGTGCTGCCACCTAGATGAAGCCAGGTCGCTGTCGCCTGTGTAGCATCCTGCACTGGATGGGGCGGGAGGTGCACTTGTTTTATAGCGCACATGGGCAAATGTTGGAGTTGGATCCTTTGAATTCTTGGTGCCAATGTGATGTAGCAGACTGAAGGTGCAGGGGGGTGCTTGACACCCCAGTGTCCACCCCATCCAACCTTAGTGCTTGGTTTTTTCATCCTTGACCTGACATCTAAGTATCCTAAAGAACACAAAGCCGTAGGGGCTAGGTACATCAAGGTTCCTGGCTTTCATGGTACTGAACTGGAAAAACACCGAGATAAGAGACCTGACTGGGAAGCCCTGCTTGTTTATACGTTCTGCTCCTTCCTCCGTTCTCTACTTCCTTTCTGAAGACCAGTTTCTGTACTCACAAGCGGTGATATAGGAATGGATGCTCGGTTCAGAGGAGTAACAGTGCCTGTGGCTAATGTCTGAACTGCCAGAGGCTCTTGCAAGGGCTTGCCTGAAATTAATTGAAGCTTTTAAAAACATTAAAGTACTTAGCTGTTCAGAGTCCTAGCTGAGTGTCTGGATACATGCAGAAGGTGGTAGAAAGAGGCCTTTTCTCCGTGTTGGTAGTGATTGTTCTGCTTCATTGCACTTGACATTTTTCCTCTTGGCCTGTTCCTTTTCCCTCCAGAATGAAAGAGAGCTTTGTTGTGACCTGCAGCCAAGACAGCACGATCAAGGTCTGGAATCTCCCAGAGTCCCTCACTTCCAAAGCCAAAGCCGCCTTGATCTCGAGTCCGGAAATCCTTCAGGCCCAAGTAACCGAGAAGGGTCACAACAAGGTAAAATGCCAGCAGATGTGAGTGAGTTTCTTTTCTTTTGGAGCATGTTTAGCAAGTTTTCTTACTGCTCCCCCCTCCCGTTTCCTAGCCTAGATTGACCAGGTGTTTGGGTAAGCCCGGCAAGAGAACGTAACCCCTGTGCACCCTTTCTCTCCTTCTGCCTGACTTTCCCTAGGATATAAACAGTGTGGCAGTTTCTCCAAATGACAAGCTGATTGCCACCGGCTCTCAGGACAGGACGGCCAAGCTATGGTCCTGTCCTGACTGCTCTCTGATGGGCGTCTTTACTGGACACAAACGTGGGATCTGGTGTGTGCAGTTTTCTCCTGTGGATCAGGTCTTGGCCACCTCCTCAGCTGACGGCACCGTGAAGTTGTGGGGTCTCCGTGACTTCAGTTGTCTAAAGGTAACAGAACGCAAACAGGACAGATTCAGCAAGGCGGCTCCAAGCAGGCATGGGGGTTGGCCCATCTAGCAGAAGCACAGCAGCACTGCCAGGCAGAGCGACACGCAACCCAGGCCTGACTTTGTTCTCTAGGACTGGTCACTGGGATATGAGGCATGCATAGGCACTAAGCCAGCCCCTGGACAGGAGCAGAGTCGGTGCTCTGAGTAACTGCCTCCCTGTAGCTCATGAGCTGACTGCCAGAGAATAGGCGCATTCTCCCTTTGACCTTATGCAGGCATAACCATGAAGGAAACAGGCCAAGAATAATTTTCATGAAGAAGCATCTGTCCAGACTGACAGTCTGTTACTGAGTTTGAGGTGGCAGATGCTAAACTCCACACTTCCTGCTGTGTCCCACTCCTTTTAGAGAACCCAACAGTCCCAGTGCTGGGATACTCACCCAAGCAGCATTATCCTGTATTTTATAGGCAATAGCTGGTGACTCGATCTTTTCAGGAGGGCACAGCTGTCTCCCTCTGATTATACCACTTAGGGTTTGGCTGTGCATCGCAAGCTAAAGCAACTGCACCAGCCTTCAACAAAGTAATACAAGGACATGTCCAGACATGGGAACTTCCCCAGTCCCATCTGCCCATTGAAACGTATATCCCAGTGCTTCAGGAATCCATTTCATTCTTGAGAGAGAACGGTCCTTTTTGAACAATTTCTTCTCCCTGCACTGCCTGCAAGGCCTGGCTAGCTGGTGGAGCTAGCACCACAGGCATGCATCTGCAGCAGGGATGGTGGCTGGTTAGTCTCTAGGCAGCTTTGGCATTGTTATGTTCCCTTTTTAATTTTCCAGACATTTGAAGGCCACGATGCCTCCGTGCTGAAGATCATTTTTGTGAGCCGTGGGACACAGCTGCTTAGTAGGTATGTGCTGGTCCTGGGAACCTGTGTGCTGCATGTCGGAGCCAGTCCCGAGTAGAAATTTGTTCCACAACGTCGACCGGAGAGCAGAGGCTGCAGCAGTCAGATTAGATTTGCAAAGTCCCTTCCCCAAGGGAGGGACACGCACTTCAAAGTGGGGATTCACACAAGAGAGGGAACTGTGTTCTGCTCTGGAGGAGTCTGGGAGGACTTCCACTGAGCTGGGTCTGTAATGCTTCCAGAGCCACGACTAGCTGGCTCAGCACCTGGTGTCTTGGCTATCAGGCTTTCCAAGGAGCAGTTACGGTGCCTGGAGTTCGCCTGGCTGATGGGAAGAGGACAGACAGACGCTGAAGAGATTAGCTCCTTCCCTGCTCAACCTCCAACCTGGGCAGCTGCGTCCTGATGCCCCCGCCCCACGAGAGATCATGGGTAGACCCAGTGTGCAAAGCGGCTCTGGGGGTGTGGGTTCTGCCTAGCACATCTGGCACGCTACAGAATAATCCCCTGAAGGGTATGAACCCAGGGCCTTCGAGGAAAGGTTTCTTTGCTTTTGCTGCTGCAAAACCTGAACGAACTGGCTTTCTGTTTTGTGGGCTGGCAGCCAGTAAACTGCCTGCATCGTGAGAAGCAAACCATATTTTACAGACTGCCTTGTTTAGAGACTGGGATTATACCACTAGGCTGGGATGTGAGACCCCCAGGTTTGGTTCACAGCTCTTCTGTGAGACCTTGACAAGACACTTAGCTTCTCTGTGCCTTCCTACCCACTCTAGCTTTATACAGGGCTTTAAAGATAAATACACAACAGTGTTGGGAGTCCTTCGACTCCAATGGCGAACCGAGGGCCTCAGATACCAGGATAGTTTCCTTTCTTTTTCACTGTTCAAGAGCTGCTGTTATCATGCAACCACTTCTGCAGCTGAGCAGGCAGAGAACAGGACTCTAGACTGAAACCCCGTGGTTGATGCTCTGTTTCTGTTCCCCTTTCCAACAGTGGGTCTGATGGGCTCTTAAAACTCTGGACGATTAAAAGCAACGAATGCGTGAAAACATTAGACGCTCACGAAGACAAAGTGTGGGGTCTGCACAGCAACAAACAGGACAACATGGTTGTAACAGCCTCCAGCGACTCCTGCATCACCCTGTGGAAGGTACGGTTCAGGGTTTGCCTTGGGAAGAAACGGAGAGCGTGTAGGCTAGAGGTGATCTGAGTGCAGGGTGGAGTCAGATTGCAGGGACTGTTCCTAGCTCCACCCTGACTGGGTGACTTCTAGCCTCTCCGTTCTTCTCCATGTGTAACATTGCGGTAACAAGTGTTGGATCTCACCTAAAGCCAACATCAAGATTCCCCGGACAGCGCTGTCACTCCTCTCCAAAAGCAGAGACAAGAGATGGCCCTGAGCAGCCTGGCTCTTGATGGAAGATGGCACTGTCTAAAAAGGGCCTGGACGGGTTCCAGAATTTGGGGAGCAGCTGGTTCCTGTCATATAGATCTTGCTACACCATATCAGCTCTTTGGCTGTTTATTGAAAAAGCTGACTGTAGTTGTCTTCTGATCTCTCATAGGATGTCACTGAAATTGAACTGGAAGAGGAGCAAGCTAAAAAGGAGGAGCAGATTATGAAGTGAGTGACCCTAAGAAGTGCTTAGGATGGCAGGTGATAGAATGGGTCCCTGCTAGCCAACAAGACTGCCTGTAATCCAGGCCTTTCAGTTCGTTCCTCTCCAGAAAGACATTCCTTTGTTTCACTCCTTGGCTTTTGCCCCTAATACTGCTGTAGTCTCTTCATCTTCTGTAGTTGCTCTTCTGTTCCTGCAGAGCCCTCCTGTAATATGTCAGCTTCAGAAATCAATTAGTTTCATGTTTCTGTGCTGCTGAGATAAGCCAAGTTGGAACATTAAAACTTACTCATCATTCATTTTCTCCTATGTCAGCCAGCACAGAATAACTCAGGAAAGCCTTTAACGCGCTGCCAGGATAATTACCCATACAATGGAGGCACTGAAGTTTGCATTGGCCAGCAGGCTTTTATTAACTTCTTGGCACTAAATCTGTCCACAGTGTCACTACTGAATGTGCTGCCTTCTGCGTATGGTTTGTTCCATCAATCAACAGCCCCTCTAACGCGGTCTTGTTCCTGTTTTCCAGGGACCAAGAGCTTTCCAACCTGCTTCATGAGAAGAAATATCTGAAAGCTTTAGGGCTGGCAATCTCACTGGATCGCCCGCACACCGTTCTGACAGTGGTCAAAGGTAAGTACATCCTGAGACAGCATGCTGCCTGCTACCCTGGCCTTCCAAATCTGTTTGGATTGGCAGGTAACAAATGTAGAAGCCCAGCTGGGCAGACAGCTCCTTTTGCAGTCTTCCCCATTTCCATTTGACACTTTGAAATCTCCGCTGCCTCACTGCAATGCACATGGCTGTAGTGGTCCTTGTGGTCTTTCTGCACACGCTTGCGTCAAGAGAGGTATGTATAACACAGTGATCTATATACGCTTCAGTGGCTCCTCTAAGTGCAGCAGACAGTGACTGATTGTCCAGGAGCTTTGAGTCGTGAGTTAGAAGACAGGCCACTTTGGGCTTTCTCTCCAAAACCAATAGCCCGAAACCAGACTTTCTATCAAGGTGAACTGTTACTTTGCAGCCTCTGAGTTTCAAATATGCTCCTGGCAGTTGCAGTGCAAGCAGTAATTTGCACTTCTGGGTGTCAGGCTGCCAGCTTCAGATCCTCTGAGGCTAGATATGAGATTTGTAGATGCAGTGGTTTGGCAGAGACTCGAGCTGCCTTCCACATGTAACCATGACCCAATGGAGAATCAGGCTCTCTCTTCTGATCATAAAATAGGTTTTTTTGCAGAACCTATTGTCCAAGCTCATGAGTGACGGTCGTCTGGAAAAGCAGGACAAGAGAAAAGAAATAAATAGAAATAAAACAAAGACGTATGTTGATTAAAGATGCCCTTTCTTTACCGGAAGTCGGTGACTCATCCTTGATTGATTTCTTACCTATAATTTCTAGAATCTGGATTTGGAAGAGTTAGGTACACAGCTGCCCCAAAGTTACTTACAGAAGTTGTCCAGTTAGGCCTGTGGTTGTATACACAGTTGTAAGAGCAAAGCGCACCTGTTTTCACCAGAGCACACCTTGCAGTCCCAAATCCTTGGATACTGCCTACTTCCAAACTCTGAGCTGGTTTTTTTTCAACTTTTGAAACACTTGTATTAACCTGATTCCTTGTCTTTTTGCTCTTCCCCTCCTTTTAGCCATCCTAAAGGAGACCGATGGGAGAGAGAACTTGGAAACGAACATCCTCAGACTGCGGAAGGATCAGAAAGGTTGGTTGTGGGTTCAAATGAGTAATAAGTCTTAGATTAGCGGGAACAGATTCTTCCTCTGTTTGCCATGGACTTACCCCTGACCAGGCAGGGCTCATCCACTTGGAAAGAAGCTGGTCGTGATGTAGACCTAAGCCTGCTATGAACTGATTTGAGGCTCTCAACCATCTTCACGCAGTGTTATTTTGCGCTTGCATAGCATCTTCTGTTTGGAAGTTCTCAAAGTCCTCAACCCCTTTTGGGAGGCAGCTAAGTTTTATTTTCCCCATTTACAGAATGGGGACATTGAAGCGTAGGAGAGATTAAATAAATTGCCTGAGGTGGACTGATGACAAGGCCGGGAATACAGAACTCTGGTCACATGCGGCTATCGCCATCCCTGCTGAGAGGGCCCCTCTTTATGTTGCTGGTCAGCTGTTTATGACCTGCCGGGGTCACAGTCAGTCTAGTGAGGGGCTTGTGTGCTGTTACAGTTTCCCTGCAAGTTTGCCACTCAATCTGGGGGAAGCTGGATAGGCCTGGCCTGGTCTCTGCCATGGTGTAATGCTATCTTGTGCATAAATCGCAGTCAGACCTGAGTAACCCGTGTATTTCCTGCTTTCCCTCCTAGAGGCCGTGCTGAAGTTCTCAGTAACGTGGAACACAAACTCTCGCAACTGCCACGAGGCTCAGGCTGTCCTTGGCATCCTCCTAAAGCACGAATCCCCCGAGTGCCTCCTCCAGTACGACGGCATTAAATCTGCTGTGGAATCACTTCTGCCCTACACCGGTGAGTTACAAAGGAGGCTGCACCTTGATTCGGTCCTGCTGTTTGTGCTGCTGTATCACACGAGGGCTCCTGCAGCAACACCTCTAGCACTGCACCTGATCTTGCCCACAGCCTGACTCCTGCGCTCTGAGCTGCATGTCAGACCCAGATGTTGTAGCCAACAGCTTGCTACAGCATAAGATATAGCCAGGAGTTTCTTCACTGGCCTGTGGTGCCCTTTGAAGACATTTCTCAGTGTCTGTAAAGGTGACACATGCTCCGCGTTCTCTGCTCCCTCCATTCACCACAGTCAGGGCAGAGATGGGCATTCCCCTCTCCCCCCCAGTTTTCTTGGCACACTCAGGCCTCCATAGCAGTTTAGCAGAAACATTTCCTTTTTCTTTCTTTCTTTTTTTTTTGGCAGAACGTCATTTCCAGAGACTGGGCCGGTTACTGCAAGCGTCCATGTTCATTGATTTCATGTGGCAAAACATGAGGCTGTCTGATACTTCCAAGTGGGACAAGGATGGCTTGTGACCATTCACATGCCACTTGCAGTCAACTGAGGACTATGACCAAGAGCCAAGGATTTGCAGTGACTGGTACTAACGGTGCCTGGCTCTCCCATCCAGCCCTGAAGCTATGGTATTTTTATAATAAATTTTTTAAGTGTGAGTTTTTATAAAATAGCGAGTCCACCAATTCCTTGTTGCCTCCCAAGGCCCTGCATAAGGAGGGGATGGTCTTCCTAGCCAAGAATCACCTTCCTTTCACTCTTCAAACCTTGAATCTTGAAGGGTTGGTGCATGAGCTTGAGAGAAATGGCAAATAGCATGAGTGTCCACATAGAGACACTCTTACAGTAAATGGTCCTGCTGGTAGAACTCGCCGAGCCCACCTACCTTGGACCTTATGCACATGCTGGAAAGATTACAGACTCTCCCTTTTTAGTGAGTAGTTGGTAAGCATTAATCAGGAGTATTGCCAGCAGATTGAAGGAAGTGAGTGTTCCCCTCTATTCTGCACTGCGGAGGACAAATCTGAAGTCCTGTGCCCAGTTTTGGGCCCCTTACTACAGAAAGGATGTGGACAAGTTGGAGAGAGTCCAGCGGAGGGAACAGAAATGGTTGGGAGGCTGGGGACATGACTTGTGAGGACAGACTGAGAGAACTGGGCTGATTTAGTCTGCCAAAGAGAAGGCTGAAAAATAGCAGCCTTTACCTTCCTGCAGGGGGGTTGCAAAGAGGAGGGAGCTGGGCTGTTCTCAGTGGAGCAGACGACAGGACAAGGAGCAATGGGCTCCAGTGGCAGCAAGGGAGGCTTAGGCTGGATATGAGGAAAAACTCTCAGGAGGAGGGTGGTGAAGCACTGGAACAGGTTACCCAGAGAGGTGGTGAAGTCTCCATCCTTGGACATTTTGAAGGCCCGGCCCAACAAAGCCTTGGCTGGAATGATGTATTTGGGGCTGGTCCTGATTTAAGCAGGGGGTTGGACTAGATGTGACCTCCTGAGCTCCCTTCCAACCCTCATTTTCTATGGTAAGTAACTGCACTGTGTTGGGACCCTTCGTAGATAATCCTAGACCGTGCTACATCCTATACAAATATCCGTCCAAAGGACAGTCCCTGACCAAATAGTGTACAAGCTAAGCATAAGGCAAGAGACAGCATGTCAATGGGGGAGCATGTTGGTACAGTGAGACAACTGGTCAGTGTGAAAAACAGCGGTCATACACCAGTTGCCTGACTGGTGGCATGGCAGAAAGTGAGCTAAGGAGAGGAACTAAATTAAGGGGTGTCTGTATCATGTTGCTGAGGGCATAGTCTGGTTTCCTAGAGTTAGAGTTAGCAAATGCTGCTTGCATTCAGGCTTTTGTACAGGTTGTTTTGGTCACTGCAGGGCCTGGGCAGATTTCACAAGATATGGGCCGTGAAAGTGCTGTGAGGATCATCAGAGCACAGCCTGGTCCAGAGTGTGAAGGCATCTCACTGGACCCCATGACATCCTGTGCTGTTTTTGCTCCCTTCACCCTGGGCCACTTCCAGAACCCCGGTCCTCAGAATGCATGTCTTTTTCTGACTACCTGACATTGGCTCGGACCTAGAGAAAGGCATGATCCTGGCCAAGCTGCTTGACTTTACCTCAGTTCCCTGGTTCTGTAAAATGGTAGCACTTGTACTCACCTGCTTTGAGATCTTTGGAGAAAAGGGCTGTGTGCAGTACAAACACAGAACAAAGGCAGCAATGGAGCAGACACTGGGGGTCTGGCAAGGCAAAGTTTGCACTGAAACTTATTGACCTCTCTCCTCGCTGGCTGCCTGGTCCAAAAAGAACTGGCGCTGTTGGCTTCTCCTCCTCAAGCAACAACCCCCTGTGGCAAAGAACAGAAAGGAACATGTACCGAGTACAGAACTTCAAGGTGTTCTCAGTCAAAACAGTTTCCGTAAGAGCAGACCCCACGTGCAGATTTCTTGGCAGTACAAAATCAGACCATTTCCAAAGCACGTTTCACTTGACACCTCAAGCTCCAGATGAGAGCAGACAGAAAATACGCCTGTTGTGACCTTAGATTTCATAGATTTCATAGACATCAGGGCTGGAAGGGACCTCGGAAGATCATCGAGTCCAGCCCCCCGCCCAAAGGGCAGGAAGTCAGCTGGGGTCATAGGATCCCAGCAAGATAAGCATCCAGTTTCATCTTGAAGGTGTTCAATGAAGGCGCTTGAACCACCTCCGGTGGCAGGCTGTTCCAGACCTTGGGGGCTCGGACAGTGAAGAAGTTCTTCCTTATGTCCAGCCTGAAACGGTCTTGTAGTAGTTTATGACCATTCGACCTCGTCATCCCTTGGGGCGCTCTGGTGAGCAAACGTTCCCCCAGATACTGGTGGTCACCCCTGATAAACTTGTAGGTGGCCATCAGATCACCCCTGAGCCTGCGCTTTTCCAGGCTAAAGAGCCCCAGGGCTCTCAGCCTGTCATCATAGGGTCTGCTTCCCTGACCTCTGATCATGCGCGTGGCTCTTCTCTGCACTCTCTCAAGCTTCTCCACATCCTTTTTGAATTGTGGAGCCCAAAACTGGACGCAGTACTCCAGCTGCGGCCTCACTAAGGCCGAGTACAGGGGGAGAATGACGTCCCGGGATTTGCTTGAGAAGCATCTATGGATGCAAGCCAGCACTTTGGTCACTTTACTAGCCGCCGCATCGCATTGCGGGCTCATGTTCATCTTGTGGTCAGTGATGACCCCCAAGTCTCTTTCTTGCATAGTGCTAGCCAACATAGCACTGCCGAGCCCATAAGGATGCTGCGGGTTTTTTTTCCCAAGGTGGAGAACCTTGCATTTATCGGCGTTGAACACCATCAGATTCTCGTCCGCCCACTTGCTGAGCCTGTCCAGGTCAGCCTGGATCATCCGCCTGTCTTCTGGTGTGGATGATTTGCCCCAAATTTTGGTGTCATCGGCGAACTTGGCCAGCCCGCTTCTGACTCCAGTGTCCACATCATTAATGAAGATGTTGAACCTTAATTTAATGCAGCCAAGTGAAGCTAGTAGCCTAACAGGGTCCATTGTCTGATTATTTTTTTTTATAGGCCACAATGCCACCATAAATTCAGATCACCCTCAATGCCTAAAAGAGCTTCTCTGCTTAAACTGCCACCTTCTCATTCCTGTTGCTGATCAGAACAAAAGGGAAGAGTCTGTGACAGTAACTCTACAGTTATGCATCTTTGGTGCTTATGTGGGGTGTAAGCATGCTCAGCAAGACTGTTCAGGTACTGGAGGTCACAGACAGGCTTTCAGTACCTTGCTATTATTGAGGTCTTGAAACTTAACTAGGATGAGACAAGTGCCATGGATAAAAAGACTATGGGCAGGTGTTGCACTTTTCTTTCTTACCACTACTTTTTAATTTATTTGCTCACATACCTGTAGCTACACTACTTCTATCTGTTGTAACACCTGGTTGCAATAGGGTTAAATAAGGAGCACAGGGTGAATCTGCTCTAACGATCATGCTCTGGTTACTGCTTTTTAGCCCAGTGACAGTTCTAGTCTAGTGGGTTTGCAGATAATACGCCCAGGGCAGTCTGAAACACAAATGGATTATGAGAAGAGGTTTCCAGATTAGGAGTCAATAGTACTACAAAGAGCTATTGAAGGAAAGCCTCCCCTTACTGCCGTATGTGTTTGTTGTAGCCTGAGGCTTCAACCCTGTGCTCAGTGAACCACTGCTTGTTGCTTGCTAATAGATTTTGCATGTTTAAAAGCTGTGCAAGGTAATGTATATAAACTCAGCAACAATATGGTCCCTGTTTTGGGGTAACTAGTTCAAGATCCTAAAGCTGAAAAAGCTGCATGGCAGCCTCACTATAGGAGACTACCTAGGGCAGTTCCCAGGAGCAAACTGACAGGATGCTATTCCAGGTGTGGCCATGAAGGCCCTGGAGCCCCTTCAGCCCTCACTTTATGGGCAATCACCCCTTCAGTTGCCCAGCATGCCTTCATGTCTTTATATGAGGGAGGCTGCCCCAGAGCTTCCTAAATTGATCTCTCAAATAACCACCAGGTGCCTGTGGTCACTGCCTTATGGGCTAATTGCATGGCTCCATTCCGCCCCTACATGATGCTCCATGCCTCACAGGAGCATCCTCATTGATGTTCCCTTCCACTTAGCCCCTCTCTGCTCCCACACTCTCGCTAGGCTCCCGGACCCTCAGTCTGGGCTCCAGACCCCTCCCTGGGTCCCTAGGACCTTTAGTTCCTCCCCAAACCTCCAGACTGCCTTAGGTGTTACCCTCCATGTTACCTTCTGGAGCTGCAGCCCTCCCTGCTGAGATGCTGATCTCTCAGTGGGCTCCAAGCTGTTACTGCTGGCTCCACTCAGGTCTGGGCCTGTATCCTACCCAAGCCCAGCCTTCCTCCAGAGTCGGATGACTCTGTAATCAACCCTGGCTGCATCTGCAGGCTGCCTCAGCACCAAGCCTCCTGGCACACAAACCACCACTGGAGACAGTCCCTTTAGCTCCCTTAAGAAACTGCAGTGACAGCTGGACTGTGCATGAGACCCACGTTGAAATGGGAAGTCGTTTCCTCTCTGTTCTGAGTCTTGGGGATTGCTCAAGCACTTATTGGGGTACCTAAAATCCACGCAAGGTATAATCTGCAAGAGTGACTTACAACTCCAGTCCTGGTACAAAAAAGGTCCTTTTCTTCTAAGTACAGCTTGCTGCCCTCTGCCTGGGCAAAGGGATGGAGTGTAGTGGCTGGGATAGTCCAGCAAATATGCAAGCAGCAACGTTTTATTTGTGATACCTTTAACTGGACCAACTGTACAGTTGAGAGAGATGTTAGAGAAGGTTTCAGGCACTAAATATCCTTCTGCCCTTTTGAGCAGAGAAGGCAGGAGTGCAGAGGCAGAACTGATAGCGATGTGGAAAGGATAGCTGGAACCACATGTGAGCAAATAAGATTGTGTGTATGTAAAAGGAAATGGCTTTCATTTCTCCCCATGTACAGACATGGGTGTTCATCCACATCCCCCTGTTTGGGAAGGAGGCTGCAGCTCCCTGAGTTGCTGTGAAGAATTAGCTCTTCACATAAGCAGGATCAGCAAACTAACATGACTAATCCCTGTAATAAACTCTTTAGTTCAGCCTTAATCTTCAAAGGGGC